GATTCTCTCACAGCCGTCATGAAATGACTGAGGATCTAGATCTTCCAAAAGTGTTAGAAAATGTATTTGTGCACATTGCTATCTATGTGGGGTGTCTTTTGCCCTGGTCACTTTAATAGGAACACATACACCTGCTCATTCATGGTGTGGCATGCAGAATACAGCTCAAGAGCTTCAGATAATGTTCACAACAAACATTAAAAATGTGGCCTCACGTTAAAGGTGCTGGTTTGAGTAGTCCAGAAAATGCTGCTGTTCTGGCATTTTCACATACAATACTCTCTATAGTTACACAGAATGTTGTGAAAAACAAAAAAAAACATCTGGCAGTTCTGTACGTGGAAACGCCTTGTTGATGAGACAGGTCAGAGGAGAGCAGCTAGACTGTTTTGAACTGACAGGAAAGATAAGGTAAATAAAATAATCACTCTTTACAACCGTGGTGAGCAGAAAAGCATCTCAGAGCATGCCAAACCTTGATGTGGACCCTCCGATCTTGTTAGTTTCTTATCCAGAACTTTGGAAGTAAGGAATTTTATTTACCTTAACCTTCATAAGGTGTTGATCTAGTTGGTTTAGCTAAAAAACAGGCAACTGTGTGTAAATATTAAACATTTCGAAGCAAAGATGTATGGTAATTTGGCGTGTATTGTTTTTAAGCTTTATGAAGCTGCCATAGACATTATGTTTTGCTATTCATCATAATGGATCATAGACATGTTTGGATGACAAATGGATGTGTTGGGAATTGACCTCAGCGTATAACCCAATTAATTCCCACCACCCATGGTGACTCATATTATTCCATTGCTCCAGAGCGCCAGTGACTTTTACATTGATGAAATTAAAGTCATTAAAACGAGGGAGGAAAGGGAGGACACCAGGACAATGACCCAAAAGATGAGAAAAGGGTTTGAGAGGTGTGTTTGCTGAAAATATGAGTCATGCAGACTAGCCGGTCCCAGTGTGGATTTTGGCGAGAGGTAGCATCGCAAAAGGTCAGAGGTCAAATCTGTTCCCAATGCTTCGCACTTTGACTCTCAATACCTCAGAGAGAGAGAGAGAGAGGGAATCATTTAGCTTGGCGACAGAGTACGCAATAAGAGACATTAATCTTTCTCACGTCTCAAGTTCCTGTGAATCGCCATGGGGCAAAGATTGTCATTGCGATGGTGTCGTCAGGAAAGAGAAGAGCGTCTCTGCCTTTTTTTTTTTTTTTTAATACACAGAACAGTGAGAGTCTCACTCCACAGTGTTGACACAGAGAGAAGTGCCTCAAACAAGCTGACAGTAGAGTTGTGACAGGCCAGAAATCGATCATGATAAATTAAGCAGGGTCTGTATAAACGCTATCTCCATCTGAACCGCTGATGCACAAGGAAGGCATTGTACTGAGTGTCAGCAGGTTTTAAAAGCTGCTCAAAGCGTCTCGGCCGCTCTATTGTTCCGAATTTCATGAAGTGTGATGGTTCTCAGGAAAGAGGAGATGGCGCTTTTCATGGGTTTTTAAAATACCAGTGCATGGAGAGAATAGCAGGCCAAAAATAGTGGTCATGATAACTAGCTTAAAGGGCCGGAATTATTAAAATAGACTTTTATTTGCTTGTTAGGGGGAATTTTTGATTTGCAGCAACTCTGCCAAAATAAATATGAAATTTAGTATTGAACTAAATTTTAAAACTTGAGTTTAATGGAGATCAAGAGGAGTCAATAATGAGATGTAAAACTTTTCCTCTACTCATGCACTTTCAGAATTATTAAAAACAGACGTTGTTTTTCATGTGTAATATATATACATATATATATTATATATACACCCATATTTACTTCTCTAGAATTTAAAACCATACATGGAGTCTCATTTTAATGAAGCAGAACTGATTCAAGCGTCTTGACTGAATGTATCGTTTACAGGAAAGTACGTTAAGTCAAACCTTTTCTTTGGATACGTGAAGGGAAAAGCTTCTTTTTGCCCACTCCAGTGTATTAAATTCCCTTGGAATATGTGATATGTATAGTTATTTTAGGTTTTACCTCAGGGGCAACCTCAGAAAGAAATGCTTTCAGACCTAACCTATGGTATAGGGTGACAATGTAAGAGTTAATAAGCATATAGGATGAGCTCCTGATGTAAATTTAGCACTCACAATGTAAATTAAGGGTTAAGTCTTTTGTTACAGGTTCAATTAGTAAAGCTTGTATGAAATTATCTGTCTCTTGCAGGCAGTAATATAAAAATAACTCTGCGCCAGCCTCCATATATATGAATTTGGCTCAGTTATGTTTATACTCTTCACTATTGTGTGTGTGTGTGTGTGTGTGTGTGGTTCTTTTCATCTGACTTCTTGTCTTTTTTTTTTTTTTTTTTTTTT